AAGCAGGAACATGGGCAGCATGCCAGGACCCCCTCCACTGGAGCGGCTTCCCAGGAGCTCAGCCTGTGATCTGAAGTCTCGTGAAGTGTGGCGCCACACGTTTCCCCTTTCTCTCAGCTCTAGGCGGCCCTGCCTGGCATGTTGGCACTGGACCCCACTTCTCCTAAAGAAGGGAGCGTTAGCATCCCCGTCCCAGGATGGGCAAGCCTGGCACTACCTGCAAGGAACCCCCAGGTGAGCGCAGGCCCTGCCAGCTGTTGGTGGGGGTGGGGCATCCAGACACCTGACCAGCAGCTGCCTCCTAGGTGGATGCTGCTGGCACCTGTGTTCAGCAGCCAGGCGTCCCAAGGCTGGACTCAGCCTTTGCAATTCTTGGGTGTGGAGGACTGAGATGTTCAACTGTGCAAACCCAGGGGCTGGCATGAGGACTCAGCACCCAGTTTCTTCTCTAAGAGGGCCCTGGCCCATGCTATCCCCCCTCCCTAGCCAAAAATGAGAGGTTGTTCTCTGTCACCATGGTTCTCCAGCGAAGAGCACTGCCCAGGACTGCCCCTGGGCAAAGAGGGATTTGGGAATCATTATGAGAAACCATGGAAACAGGAGTTGCCAAAGACAGCTCTGGACTCAGAGAGGATGGCAGCGGGGCTGGTGGGCTCAGGGCAGGCCAGAGCTGGGTCATCTCCAACCCCGACTCCACACGGCTGGATCTTCCAGAAGGTGGAAAAGCCCACCCACACCAGGGAAGGTGGGCAACGCCTGGCCTCCTCTGCCTGCTGGGCAGGGACGTGTCCTGAGGGCAGGAAGGAGCAGGCAGTACCTCTGCCCACGCTTGGGTAAGTGAGCTGTCAGGTGACTTCCAGGGAGGTCCCCGCTTGAACTTGGCCAGCACGCCCCTGAGAAGGGCCTGCCTCCCTACCCTCTAGCACTGTGTTCCTGGAATGATGTTACGAGCTCAGGCCCCAGCCCTTAGGAACAGTGGCAGGAGAGAAGCTGATGCTTCATTACATCAGAAGAAATGCAAGGCTGTGGATCCCTTCCTATCCCTGCAGGGTGGAATGGGAATGCTTCTGGTATCTATCCACTAGAGGAGGACTGTGTCTGGCTCAGACCTAGGAGTGCCTTGAGCAGCTAGGCCCCTGGGTCCAGGAATGCCCTCCCTGCTGGAAACCATACTCAAGGCTGGGAGGGTGGGTAGAGGTAGGTGGCCAGCACACAGCTGAAAACCCTCACCCACAAGCAGCCCTTGCAGGCTGCACCTCTAGGATGCATCCTTGGGTGCCATGACCAGGCTGCCAGGAGACTTAGCTTGGGCATCTAGCCTGGTCCACCCTCCTCACTGCTGGGAACTGTCCCCACCATGACTGAGCACCTGCAGGAGCTGGGGGCGGGGGACACCTGGAGTTCCTCCTCTTCTCCCTTGCTGTGTTCCCAGTGTCCTGTGAGTGAGGGACTCCAGAGGGACAGCCCCTGCCTGTTCTCTGCAAATAAGACACCCACTGGTAAAGGACATGGTTCATCACAGAACACATCAGAAAAAAGAAGTCAGAGACCCATTTCTCCTAGCAGATTCTGGGAGATTCCGAAGTGGAGGATGGTCACAGTGGGAGATAAATTGTTGTTGGTGTTGGGGAAATGGACAAGGGCCAGCCCTGCAAGAGCATCCAGCTGGCAGCGCTTGGATGGGGGTGTTCTGGGGGTGTCCAGCTGGCAGCCCCGGGATGGGGTTGGGGGGTGTCCAGCTGGCAGCCCCAGGATGGGGGTGTCCATGGGAGGTGACCAGTCGGCAGCCTAGGGATGGAGGTGTTCATGGGGGTGTCCAGCTAGCAGGCCCAGGATGGGATAGGGGTGCCCAGCTGGCAGCCTCGGGATGGGGTTGGGGGTGTCCAGCTGGCAGCCCAGGGACAGGGTTGGGGGCAGAGCCCAGCACTGCATTGGCCAGCCCTGTCTGGAAGACTAGTGATTTTGTTGTTGTCTTACTATGCCCAGCAACAAGTCCCAGTCTGCCACACGATGCTGGCCACACAGCCTGGGTGGGGGGTGGTTCTTACCATCCCTGACTCCCAGAGGGGCAAGCTGCCTTACCACACAGTGCAGGGCAAGGGGCGGGACCCCGTGACTGTTCCCTCATTCCTACAGCCATTGGGAGGTCCAGGAGATCCCACAGGCAGGCTGCAGCTGCCCCCAGGAGTTTGGAGGGGACAGCCCACCTGCAGCTCATCTAGAAGCTGCCTAGTCATCTCTGAAACCACGGGGCCCAGAACTGACAGGGTTGTTACCAAGGCTGAGACTGGGGAGGGGCAGTCTGGTCCCCCCAGCAGTGACTAGATATGGGGCTGAGTAGCACTGTGAGCCAGGCTGCTGCCGTGCCACAGTGGTCTGGTCGCAGAGCCTGTTAGAGTTCCAGCTACTCTGCCCCAGCCCAGCTTCCTGGTCAAGGACTTGAGCTCCTGCCACGATGTGGGAGGCCTGGGTAGAGACCTAGGTTCCTGGCTCAGTCTGGCCTGGACCTGGTGGCCATCTGTGGAGTGAACCAGCTAATGGAAGATTCTGTCTCTCTTTCTGACAATCTGCTGTTCAGCTAAACAAGCATATCTTAAAAACAAAGTTTTGGGGCTGGCTGAAGCACTCACCTCCTACAGGAGCAAAGGTTTGTGTCCCAGCTGCTTTACTTCTTTTCTAGCTCCCTGCTAACAGATTTGGAAAGTAGCAAAAGATGGCTCAAGTTCTTGGGCTCCTGCACCCACAAGGGAGACCAGAAGCTTCTGGCTTGCAGTTTTAGACCGGCCAAGCTCTGGCCACTATAGGAATGAACCAGCAAATGGAAGATCTCTCTCTCTCTCCCTCAATGATTCTTTTAAGTAAATAATTTTTAAACAACAAATTTGTCTGATAGACAAATAGCTCCCAGACAATGGGTTCACTCCCCAAAGGCCCATGTTGGGGAGGGGCGGGTGACTGGGATGTGAGGGATGTGGCAGACAGCTGGTCAGGACTGCCTGGACGAGGGGGTCCTGGCTCCACAAGTGATGATCACAGCTGGATGTTGCAGAGGTTGGCCATGCTGGGGGAGGAGTGCAGGGCCTGTCCCCTCAGTGGTGCCTGCACGTGGGCCTCCCTGCAGAGGATGGCATCTCTGTTCCATCAGAGCACCCACTGCACGCCGTCTGCACCTCCTGATTCAGAAGGCTGAAACCCGCAGGGCTCCTGAAAGCCAGCCACCTTTGAGGTCTTGTGCGATGGCAGCTTTTCTGGGAACCGCGTCTCGGAAAGCCACAACTGGGAGAAGCCAAGAACCTAGGGCAGGTGGTGGAACGGAACATGCCATCCTGAAGGAAGTGTGGTCTTACTTGAGCAGGCAGACGTGTCCACAAAACCAGCCAATGAGAGCCCCAACCTGGGCCCGTCGTCCCAGGAGCCCCAGGAAAGCGGGAGCTATCCAGGGACCAGCGTGCCAGGCAGGCCTCTCTGGGACAGGGCTTCCACCAGGGAGCCCTGGGCTCACCATGGCCCCTGAGTGACAGCAGGCTCTGCACCTCCGACCCCTGGTTCAGGGACAAGAACCCTTGGCTTGACTCTGGGGCCAGGGGTGGGATGGGGGTGCCTGGGGGCGAGCACAGCTTCCAGTGGAGCCATTCTCAGGGGCCCTGCGTGGTTGCAGGGAGGCAGCATCAACACCGACGTCCCCCAATGAGCCCACAGGAGGACTCCCAGGGGATGGGAAAGCCCTTCCGGCATGGAGTGTGACCACAGTGCTGTGCCTCCAGGATCAACCGCGGCTAAGGGCTCAGCTGTCGTCTGGAGACAGCTATCCACACGTATCCTGGTCCAGGTCCCAGCTCCACTTCCCGATAACGCACACACTGGGAAGCAGCAGGGGTGACCCAGGCCCCAGATAGGAGGTTGAAGGGAGTCCCTGGCTCTTGGTCAAGGCTGGCCCAGCCCTGGCTGTTGTGGGGCGTGAACCAGATGAGAGATCTGGTCACTGTGTTTTTCAAGTAAATAAAAATAAAAATAAAAATAAAAAATGAAAAAGCTATACTCCTGCCCCTGTGTTCTGGAAACAGCCAGCCACCTCGTGTCTCCACAAGCCAGTTTCCCTTTGCCTCAGAACCAGTCGGGACAAGACGCTGGGTGCCCAGGCTCGGCTGTGGCTTTGTCCTCCGGTAAGGTTGCAGACTGGTGGCCCTCAGCCATACTATCCTTCCTGGGGACAGACGGGTGACCACAGGGCGGGATATTCACGCAGCCCCCATGCTCACCCCATCTGCACCCCCTGTTCACTGTTCCCCAAAAGAAAATCATTTTTAGGGCTGGAGTCTTACGTTCTCTCTCCACTCCTCAAACTCAGTCTCCCTCAGGACGTTGTTTTTCTTCCTCGACCCCGTTTCGGTGGTCCCCTTTGACCCCACTTGCCCCCTGTGCGCCTCCTCATTCCGCCCCCAAGCTCGCTGTCCCCTCCAGACCCCCAAGGCTGCAGCCAGCGGGCATCCCATGAGGCAACTCCGCCCCTTCTCTCTCTGCAGGGTCCTCACGCAGGTGCAGCCTCCACGCAGCAGGTGCTGGGGTCAGGCCGGGGACCCAAGCGGCCCCTTCCCTTTTTCCAATGTCCACGTTCCCACCTGGCGCCCCACGCGGCTTCCAAGCTTGGCATGCCTGGATTCAGCGGCTCGCTCGTGTGCAGACCCGGGAAAGCGCCGGCCTCTCGCCCCGAAAGATGCCCAGACGGCCAGCTGGCACGCGCCGCGGAGCGCCTTGGACTCGCACCGCCGCGCCCGCGAGGAGCGCCGGAAGGTGCCGAGAGGCGGGGAGGGACGCCCGGAAACGCCCGAAGGCGAGGTCGCCGGGCAACGCCCCCTCCTGTGACGCATGACAGAGGGCGTGGCTTCCGGCACACAGGCCGCACCCCTAGTCCGGCCTTTCTCCCGCAGCAGCAAGAAGGATTTGGCCAATCAAAAGAGGGAGGGGGCGGGCGCTTGTCGCCCAGTCGGCCAATAGGCGAGCGGCCGGCCGGGCTTGCCCGGGCAAGTGGGAGCTGCGGCGGCCGGGACTCCACGTGCTATGGATGACCCCGAGTCCCGGGTAGGCCGTGGAAGCGAGCGGGGTGCCTGCGAGAGCGGCCGGGGTCCCTGCGGGAGCGAGCGGGGTCCCTGCTGAAGCGGCTGGGATCCCTGCGGGGCGGCCAGATCCCTTCAGGAACTGCTGGTCAGTGGGCTCGGGCAGGGGGCGCGGCGGTCGAGGGTGGCGGTGCCGGGAAGTGGACGGGCCGGCCTCTGGGTCTTGCGCGCCCCTTGCTGGATCAGACACGGAGGGTGCGGGTCGGTCCCACCTTGGGTGCGGCCGCTGCTCCCCAGCGCCGCCAGCCGCCCCAGTCCCCCCCGTCGCTGCCAGCCAGAGGCCATGGTGAGCCGAGGGCCCCTGTCACTCGAGCCGTTTGCTGGTGGAAGCCCTGCCCCGCAGAGGCCGCTGGACACGCTGGCCCTTACACAGCTGCCCGCTCTCCAGGAGCCCAGGTGCCTTCCAGGCAGTCAGTCACTCTTCCTCCTTCGGGTAGCCCGCTGGGGTGGCCTGCTCCCTCTTGCCAGCACAGCCCTCCTGTGGGGCTTTGCTTGCGACTTCTGGTGTCTGTGGCAGAATGGGACTTAAGTGCGGAACCTAGCTGGTGGGGAATCTGGAATGAAGGGCCGGTCCAGTAACCTTGGGTTGGGGAGAGCACTGAGCCCTAAGGCCCCTCCCCTCGGACCACCCACCAGAGAGAGAGAGAGAGCCCCTGCTCCTGCTGGCTCACTCCCCAAGGCTGGGACTCTCTGGGTCTCTGTGTGGGTGTCTGGGGCCCAGTGCTGTGGCTGTCACCTACTGAGGTCCCAGGGCTAGCAGCAGGCTGCCCCACAGAGCCTGGTCCTATGGGCAGCCTGGCCTTCTGTGCCAGTGCCACCCACCTCACCTTGTATTTGTGCAAGCAATGCTGGGCTGATCTGGGCCTTTGGGTTGGGGGTTCTGGACTCTCGACCTTTGTCTCCCAGGGATGGGGCAGGTACCCAATCTGTCCCCGTCTGTCCCGTGTACTGGGCATCCTCAGTGTCTGTGGGTGGGGATGGCGGTCCCAGTGGTGACACTGACCTGGAGCAGCATTTACCAGGGGCTGCCTTACACACATCCATCCCCCTGGCTATCCTCTGCAGGGCGCTGATCCCAGGATCGGGCACCCAGAGCCTGGAGCTGAGGGGATGGAGCCCCAAGGAACACCTGACGGTGCCCCTGGCCCGAGTGCCCAGCATAAGAGGAGGAGTCGGCAACACCAGCGGTTCATGGCACGCAAGACCCTGCTGCAGGAGCAGGGGCTGTTAAGCCTGCCCATCAAGCTGAAACCTGCCCCTCCAACCTCCAAACTGCCGGACGCCAAGGCTGCAGAGAGCCAGAGACCAAGGCAGGAGGCCCGGACCAACTGTGCCCAGAGCAGCAGGAGCCCCACCCCCAGGACAACCCCTGGACCCCTTCCCAACAAGTGCGTGGCGATCGACTGTGAGATGGTGGGCACAGGACCCCAGGGGCGGGTGAGCGAGCTGGCTCGCTGCTCTGTGGTGAGTTACCACGGTGACGTCCTCTATGACAAGTACGTGCGGCCCGAGAGACCCATTGTGGACTACCGCACGCGTTGGAGCGGCATCACCCAGCAGCACATGCGCAAAGCCATCCCCTTCCAGGTGGCTCAGAAGGAGGTGAGGGCCAGGGGCTTGAGGTTGGCAGGAGGAGGGGGGATCCCAGTGCAGACAGAGGAGTAGCACCCAGTGCGGGACTGAGTGTGGACAGGGGAGTAGGACCCCGAGTAGGGGCCAGAGTAGGATGCAGTGTAGATGGAGGAGGGACTGAGGGGAGGGATGGTGAGCTCTCCTGCAAAGAAGGCTCAAGGCCCTGGAGTGCCTTTGTCCTGGAGGAGAGCTCTTTCTGGGACCTCTGGACCCCCTCACCCCAGCACTCAGAGCTGCCCCTTCCCTCGACTCCACCCTAGATCGTGAAGCTGCTCAAGGGGAAGGTGGTGGTGGGTCACGCGCTGCACAACGACTTCCAGGCCCTCAAGTATGTGCATCCTCGGAGCCAGACCCGGGACACCACCTGTGTCCCCAGCCTCCTCCAGGAGCCCAGCCTGCATGCTCGGGCCCGCGTCTCCCTCAAGGACTTAGCCCTTCAGCTGCTGCACAGGAGAATCCAGGTATGGGGGCCTGAGAGCCCCACCTAAGCTAACTCTTCCCCCACCCGGGCCTGAAACCTTTACCCAGCACAGCCTTGTATAGAGAGGCCCTTGTATCTGCCCAACTGTGACCGCCACACGTTCTTACTGACTGGTCTCCCGGATGTCCCCAGCTGCTTACCAGAGCCTGTGTCACTTCTTGAGAGCAGGCTTAGCTGAGTTCTGCTCCGTGCCCCACCCCAGCCAGGAATGTTACTGGGCCTGCACAGGAGCTCAGAGGAGCCTCCGACCCAGGGTAAGGTAACCATCACTCTACTTGCAGGTTGGCCGGCACGGGCACTCGTCGGTGGAGGACGCCATAGCAGCCATGGAGTTGTACCGCCTGGTGGAGTCACAGTGGGAGCAGCAGTTGGCCACGGGCCTCCAGGCCCACCATGAGGACGTGGAGCCTGATAGTAGCACGGACATGGAGCAGTACATGGAGGACCAATACTGGCCTGCGGACTTGGCCCCAGGCCCCAGAGGACAAGCTGCGGAAGCTCAGGGTCAGGGGCAGTGAGAGTGGAGGAGCCAGGGGCACAGGCTGTCTCCTGGCTGTGCTCTCATTGTGTCTCCAAGGGCTCGCTCACTCAATGCACTTTACAGACTAGACAGTAGGGCAGTCCTGGTTCTCCCTGCCTCCATGCCAAGGTCACCACCATCTGCACCCAGCCCTGAGCCAGCACCTACCCTCTAGAGATCAGAACCTCAAGTGGAAAGTCAAGGATCCTCCTGTGAGGCTCGTGGGGCAGCTCTGGGTCCTGGATGCCGACCTTGGGCCAGGCTGAGGTTCCCTGACTGCTGGGTCCCAAGGGGGAGGGGTGGGTCCAGGTTCTCAAGCTCAGCTTGCAGAGAATGTGGAGTTGAGTTAGGTGGGAGTACGATGTATTTATTTGCCCTGCTAGAGAACACATCGATTGATCTTGAAGTTGTATGCTTTACTGTTTGTCACCCGCCAGTGTTCCCCCAGGGCTGTGAGTGTTGACACATGTCTGCGAATTTCAGCATGTTGTGGTTGAGGATCCTGGAGCCCCTGTCGCCATGCTCCCCTCGCCCCCTGTGGCAGGTCCTCAGGCTCATCTGATGTGTGCTGTGGCCTGCTGGTCAGGTGGCTCTGTGAGCAGCTGCATGTGTGCCCCCTGCAGCCTGCTGCCTGGCTGTGCACAGGGTGTCTTTCTCTGACCTTCCCTGGGTTGCTATTTCTGCCATGCTGGTGTGTTTTGCATTCCTGTAGTCTGTGGTTTTGAGATCTGTTTGAAAGGCAGAGCTTCAGAGAGGAGACACAGCAAGGCCTTCTGGCACTTCATTCACACCCCAGCATGTGGCCCATCACCTGCTTCTTTTTCTCAGGTGTGTTAGCTGGGGTGGGGCTCAGAAGTGAGAGCCCCTAGGATACTGACGTCTCTGCTAAGGTACAGTGCCGGCACCTGCTTGAGCTCGTTAGTCTTCTGCTCAGTTGACGGCTGTGTGCTCTAGTGCAAGTCACGGGAGATGGCAAGCTTAGTTGGCTGGAGAAGCTCAGTTGACTGGTGCTTCCGGCCAAGGGTGGTGGCTTTGTGGAGAGGGTCTCTCCAGTGGGCCATCAGCTGTCCCACGGGCCCAGAAACTACACGGCTCCCCTACATAGGTCTAGCAGACCTAACTCCTGCTAGAGCTATGTGAAGCAGCAGGAGTGTGCAGCCCCAGGGTGTCCTGGGCACTTTCCAGGGGGTGGCCAGGAGGCTCTGTCAAGGTTGACAGTGCCCTGTGAGGCTTGCGGGTCTGGTATAGTGTCGTCCGTGGTTTGGGGCTTTGCCCTTTGAGCTGAGAGGAAGTAACCGTGCCCAGGGCCAGTCTGGGCACATGAGCAGGCAGTGGCCCACCCAAATGCAGGTGGAGCTGGAAGTGAGTAAATGACAGGCAGCACGTGAAATGGTGCTCGGGGGAGAAGGCAGGAAAGTGATGGCAGGTGTTAGGGGTGGGAGGCGAGGGCAGCTGTGGGGGTGGGCCATGAGCATGCACAGAAAAGGCGCCTTGGCTGGACGGACAAGAGACTCCGTCGTTGAGTAAGAAGGTTGGGGCAGGCGTGGTGCCCCAGGATATGAAACTGAGTCACCACAAGGACCACAGAAGCCCATCGGTGAAGCTTTAGGAAGTGATTTGGAAGCTGCTGTGATGGGTCAGTCCCTGAATGTCCACCAGAGTTATGTGAGCCCAGACCACTGCCCACCCCAGGGGTGATGGGACCACAAGTTCCATGCTGAACCCAAGCTGCATCCCTCGAAGTGGAGCCACCTGAGTGGGCAGGTGACTGAGACGGCAGTATAGTATAGTATGGTATAGATGTGGGTGTCCTTGTGGCCAGGAGGTGCCACTCCCCTCCACAAAGGCCACACTTGTCCTGTTGTCCATCGTGTATCTGTCCCCTCCTTCCTGTAGGCAGAGCTTCCCAAGCTCCTGGAACTCCACTGCCTCTGGGCCACCAACGGGGCTGGGGGACTGGGCAGCCCTCACCCCGTTTGCCCCTGCTCTTCTGGCTAAGGGTGCTGGTGGCCCAAGAGCCCCTCTGCCCAGTACCCAGAGGGTGGCACATCATCAGATGTGTCTGATGAGGCAGGCTGAGGGATCCTGCCCCCTACATATCAGCCCATGTGCTTGATGACCAGAAACAAGCTAGGTGGGGGTGCCTGGTTTGAAGTGATATGAGTCCCTGACAGGCAGCTCACTGGCAAGGAGGCCTCAGGGCCAATAGTTGTGGAAGGGGGGCAACTTCCCTCTTGCTCCAGGATGTTGGGGGCGGGCAGGGCAGAAGGCCTGTGTGGCTGACCCTGCCTCTGGTGCCCCCTGCAGGATGTGCGAGGGTCTCGAGCATGGCATGCAGCCCTGAGGTGGTGGCCATGGATTGTGAGATGGTGGGGCTGGAACCCCTGGGGGAGAGCGGCCTGGCCCGCTGCAGCCTAGTGAACGTGCAGGGCACTGTGCTGTATGACAAGTTCATCCGGCCTGAGGGGGCGATCACCGACTACAGGACCCAATTCAGTGGGATCACACCTCAGCACATGGCCACGGCCACCCCATTTGCCCAGGCCAAGCAGGAGGTGAGTGCAGAGATCCCCCCTACCCTGTTCTCCCTGGTGCCTGACTGGGACAGGTGCTGCAGGGCAAACCCCTGGCATCTGCCTGTCTGCCCTGGTCCAAGATTCTGGAAGCTGCTGTCCATCTAGGTAACGAGTCTTACCTCATCCCCAACCTCTGCACTCACCTGAGACTGCCAGGCCAAGCCTCTATGGAGGAGAGGCTGGGTTGTGTGCGCCAGACTGGCCCATGGCTGTGCAGCTGCCTGTCTCAGGTCGGCCTGTCTGGGCCTCATCGTGAATCAACAAAGGGAAGCAAAACCTGGAATTGCTTCTGGCTGAGTCACCAGCAGCTCTGAGGCTCCTCCCCACTCCAGCTGGGGTGCAGGGAACAGCCCCTGTTAGCCCTGCTTGAGTTAACTCTAACCCCACTCCTAACCGTGACTCTGACCCTCACCCCACTACTAAACCTCACTGCACTGCTGACCCTGACCCACTCCTAAGCCTAACTCAGACCCTCACCCCACTCCAGACCCAACTCTTTTTATTATTTTTTTATTGGAAAGGCAGATATACTGAGAGGTGAGACAGAGAGGAAGATCTTCCATCCGATGATTCACTCCCCAAGTGAGCGCAACGGCCGGTACTGTGCTGATCTGAAGCCAGGAGCCTCTTCCGGGTCTCCCACGTGGGTGCAGGGTCCCAAAGCTTTGGGCTGTCCTCCACTGCTTTCCCGGGCCACAGGCAGGGAGCTGGATGGGAAGCGGGGCTGCCGGGATAGAACCGGCGCCCATATGGGATCCCGGGTGTGCAAGGCGAGGACCTTAACCACTGCGCCACTGCGCCGGGCCAGACCCAACTCTTAACCCTGACCCTCACCCCACTCCTAATCCTGCATGGGCTGGCCGGGTGCTGCCTGCGAGGCTACTGAAGCTCATCCTCACCTGTGCACCCCACTGCAGCCCAGCCGGCTAGCCCCATGCTGCCCTCAGGTCCTCACCAAGCGGACCATAACTATGGGGGTTGCCACTGCTGAACACCCAGATGTCCCTGTTCCATCCCTGGACGGTGGGGGGTGTCGGGGTGGGGAGGGGCCAAGGCACAGCTTTGCTGTGGGAATAAGCTCAGCAGCAATGGTTTCACAGGTTTTTCTTTGTGTTTTGAGTGTGAATCCCACCTGATCCTTGTTTTATGCTGTTGCTTGGCAGTGCTGGTCCTCCGTGCTACCCCAGCTGCCTTGGGCCTGAGGCATCCCCCGAGATACTCACTGTGCAGGGACACAGGACTGAGCTGTCTAAGCCTGCCCCTCCCCTGTGTGACCTGGACCCTTTGCAGCTGCTGGGGTTGGCCAGTGCTGGGAGGGGACATGTTTAGGGGGCTCTACCACAGAAGGGCTGTGGGGAGGATAAGGATGTGCTGCCTGCAACACATGGAGCCCCTACAGCTGGTGCGGGGGTTGGAGACCTGGTCCTGTCTCCCCTGGATGCTTGGTTAAAGCCAGAGGGAGGGGGCCCTGCTCATGGTCCTACTGACCTGTGTCTGCCGAGCAGATCCTGCAGATCCTCAGAGGAAAGCTGGTGGTCGGCCATGACCTGAAGAACGACTTCCAAGCTCTGCAGGAAGACATGAACAGCTATGCCATCTACGACACAGCCATTGACTGGCTGCTGTGGCACGAGGCTAGGCTGGGCGCCTGCAGACGTGTGTCACTGCGAGTGCTGAGTGAGCGGCTGCTACACAGGCGCATCCAGGTGAGGCCCTAAGGGGACGTGGATGCAGGGGGACATGGAGGTCAGCTGTGGTACCAGCCTTGGGCTGCCTGGACCTTATTCTGGGAGCCTTGGGCTCCTGGTCATCTCAGGGGCCACTCTTGCCCTGCTCCCAGCTACTTCTCGTTCTGTAGAAATTGCCCACACCTACAGGATGAGAGCCCTGGGCGGTGCTTCCTGGGAGCATCCCCGGGCTACTCAACCTGTTTCACAGAGGAGGATGCAGAGGTCCAGACACATAAGTTCCCAAGTAACGGCTGAAAATGGGTCTCTGCCCTCTGTATGGCTGCCCTTGGCCAGCTGAGGGTTGATAGGCAGTTAAGGCATCTGGGCACCGCACAACTGCTCTTTGTCCTAAGTGACAGCCTGACTGGGCTGGGCTCCACCTAGGGATCCCAGTGCCCAGCCCTGAGGGTCTGCAGAAGGAGCCTGGTGAGACCAAGGAGGCATCTCCCAAGGGAGGAGCCCCGAGGACATGGACCCTCATGCTGGCTCCCAGACAGGACCATGGGATACAGGTCCTTGGCTCAGGCCTTGGCCTCCCTCAGAAGTTGGGAGTGTCACGAGGTTATGTGAGCCTGGACTCAGCACCTGACAAAACAGCTGGTAGGGGGCTGCCCCCCTGGGTGGACTGGACATTCTATCAGAGCCTCAGTGTAGTGTGTGCAGCCTCCCTCTAGCCCACTGTGGGGCTGACCACATGCAGGGTGCACTCATGCACCTTGTCCACCTTGCTGCCCCCTCAGCACCCTGGCTTTTGTGCCTGGGCAGTGAGGGTCCATTCTAGGTTGCTCTCTGCCTGCCTACAGGACAGCAGCCTGGGCCACAACTCCGTGGAGGATGCCAGGGCCACCATGGAGCTCTACCTCGTGGCCCAGCGGATCCGGGCCAGCCAGGGGCTGCCGTGCCTGCCCATGTCTAACTAAGGCTGCTTTCAGCTGCTGCCCCAGCTGTGGTGCCCTGTGAGCCACCACAGGCCTGCCCTGAAATTCATCTTTAGCAGTAAAATGACCTTCCCACCCTCTGCCTGTTCTCATCCCTTTCATCTGGGGAACACATGTGCTGGGATGTGGGCTGTTGCAATCGTGTGTGCTAGGACACGTATCAGATATGGGGTTTGCTGAACTTGTATGCTGGGGCGTGGGGTGTTAGCACATGTCTGAGCATGTTGGGTGTTGGGGAGCATGCATGCTGGGGATGTGGGGTGTCCAGGAGCACACATGCCAGGACATGTGCCGATGCCAGTCTGTTCACCTCTGGGAAGCAGAACTTAGTGGTAGCCCTTCCCCATTACACTGTTTCTGTGCCCAGAGGGGCCTGACCTAGGCGCTGCTGTCCAGTCCATCCATCTGTGGCTGGCATTGTGGCCTGTGTTGCCTGGGGCCCTGGGAAGGGAAGAGGCAAGGGTGGTGGGGGTTGGGCTTTGCCATATGTAAGCAGTCCTGGCCTGTCTGTCTCAGCCTGTAACCCAGGGACTCGGGACAACCCTAGCTCTGGGTCCTGGCAGAGTGACCTTGAGAGTCAGAGCAGGCGCAGGGCAGTGCTGCCTGGGGAATAGGCAGAGGCTGCTCTGGCTTGTGCCCTGGTCCGCCACATCTGTTCCACTAGGGCTGCCTCCAAGGCCAAGGTGGTTTAAGGGGGTGAGACATCTGCAGGCTCAGGGCTTGCTCACTCCTGGGAGAGGCCTCACCCAGCAGGGGCCCCATCCAGGGTGGCAGGGTGCTCATGGCAAAGCTGAGAACCCCAGGGTTCAGCTGCAGACCTGCCCTGCCCACTCCCCGCCACCAACTCCAGTTCCTTTCCTTAGATCCACAAGGAGTGAATCCCCTCTATGTCCAGCTCTCATGGCCCCAGCCTTGCCTCAGGGCCATGACCCTGCTTTGGGGTTCCATGGATCATTATGCTGTAACCCCATGTACCCCAAATACCCACAGCAGGGAGCCTGGGTCTCAGTCTGGGTCTCCCAGGGGGGTACCAAGGATTGTTGCCAGCTGCCTTGCATGTGCACTAGCAGGAAGCTGGATCGGAAGTGGAGCAGCTGGGATGTGAATTAGCATCCCTTGTGGGGGTCCCAGCAAGTCTCAGCCACAGCCACCCCCTGTGGATTTCCAGGAGTTTCTGCACTGTGTGACTAAGGCTGGCCACCAGGGGGCGCCGAGGGGCCAATCCTGGCCTGGTGGCCTGGGAATCCCTGCAGGTTGAGGACGCCTGGAATGAGGCAGGTCAGTGAGCCCTTCAGCTGCTGCAGCCTGAGCTGTCGGTTCTCCTGGCCCAGTGGGAGTCCCAGCCCACAGCTTTCTGGCCTTCCGAGGGCAGTGCATTCACAGACTGTATCCCAGCCCCGAGGTTCTCAGCTCTGCTGCTGCATCCAAGTGGAGGGCAAGCCTGGGAAGGCCCTGAGGACAGCAGGGCCCCAGCTCAGTATCTGTGGAGTGGGCACCAGAGGTCCTGAGGGATCCTTTGGGGTGAGGGGCATGGCCACCCAGCATGGGGACGGGAGCTGAACCCCAGCAGAGAGAAAGGATGAGAGTTTGCATCTGCTTCACTGATGTCCATGGAGCTGGGGCTGGGCCTGTCAGAAGCCAAGCTGTATTCTGGTCTCCCACGTGGTGGTAGGGACACAGACATGTGAGCTGTCACTTGCTTCCTCGCTGTTGGGGAGTCGGCAGGAAGCTGGGTTGGAGCAGAGCCACAACTCCAGCCCAGGCCCTCCAGGTGGGGTGGGACAGCTGAAGCTGGAGCCCCCAGTTCCAGGACCGCAGCCAGGTCCACCCATGCACATGCATCCCAGGGGGCTGGAGCTGGACCCACAGGGCCTTCCTCCGCTGCCCCTGGCCTCCCCTGTGGTTCCTGGACCCAGCACCCCTAGACGGGGTGACTTTCCTACCAGTCCCTCTGTAGACAGGAAGGTCCCCAGAGGGAGGTGGTGTGGCCAGTACTGTGCTGTGCCCTGAGGATCTGGCAGTGTCCTGCTGGCCACAGCTGCCACCAGCTTTGGCCAACAGCACTCCTAGAACTGACCATCTCAGGCCTCTGCTGTGCCCACGAGCCACCTCCCCCATTGAACTTTCTGTGGATGCCTACCCCACAGGCATCACAGGAAATTAGGGGGGTGGGAGCTGCAGACAGAGTTGCACACCTGAGTCCCTGGGACCCAGCCCTGTTCTAGGCTGGAGAAGGCCTAAGAGGGGCTGCCCTGGCCTGTCTTCTGCCTAGGCCCCATCCCCTCCGACCGAGCCACGTGAAGGAAAGTACTGGGCCCCCATCCCCACTCCCGTCCCAGGCTCGCGGTCTCTGAGGGAGTCGGCCAACCCAGCACTGGTTCCAAGAGGGCCGAGAGCTGCCAGCTTCCTGCCCAGGGATGTGGCCAAGATTTACTCAGCCACGGAACAGTTTCTGCCTCCATGGAAAGAACGTGTGCTTCCTGTTGGGCTGAGGGGCTAGGGGCACGCAGGCCCGCCCAGTCCTGGCACTGACTCAGGCTTTCTGGGCAACCGTGGTGCCCAGGCTTTAGGATGCCGAGCTGGCAACCATCATCCCATCCCTCCCAGTAGGGGAAGGGCGGACTCAAGTTGGCCTGTTGCAGGCCCCACCAAGACCCCTGTCCGCAGAGAGCTACTCTTAGGGGAGGCGGGGGGCTGTGTCAGGTGCAGCTGGGGCCCTGAAAGTCACTGTGGCTCTCCCACCCTCTCAGGGTCATGGGAACATGCAGTCCATATTCTCACCAGGCCAAAGCTGAGCTGTACCCCCAGCCCCCTCCCAAGGACGTGGCGGCAGTGATGAGGCTGTTCTGATCTAGATGCTAAGGACCTATCTGCTGACCAGGCACGGCCCCCAGCACTGGACAGTACGGAGAGTTTACCAGTTTTTCAAGGCTTTCGCAGAAAGCCTCCCTAGCCCCCACCAGGCCCTGGGGAGTGACCCCTCTCCTACTCCCCACCAGCCTTGAGGACTGATCCCAGCAGGGCAGTCTCAAAGGGAGCTACCTGGGACAAGAGGACCTGAAATTCCAAATGCAGATCTAACTGGGATCTCCCTTCAAGGGTGGAGGTCAGTGAGCTCGGCTGAGCTGACATGACCAGAGCTATGTAACATTGCCATGTGGCATAGATGATCTGAGCAGGACCTGACACATGGGACATCTCCATGGCGTGCCTGTGGGAGACCCTCCCGTGGGCGTGTGGGTGGTCCCCATGTGCTCGGCCCCTTGGTGTGGCTGCAGCTGCTCTCTTGGAGCTATACCCTCACAGCCTGACATGCAATGGGCACACCTGGAAGCCTCCGATTTCTCCGGCAGACAGCAGACTCTAGCACTGACTGGACCTTGGGGCTTCTGGTTGTACCTACTGAGAGCACCTGGGTTGGCTCGTGCAGAGGCAACTCTGAGGGCAGTGAGTAGCTGGGCGGAGGACACACACAGGACACAGGAAAGGACGTGTCTAGAACATGGGCAGGAAACACAAGACACAGGACTTGCACAGGACACACATAGTACACTACAGGACATAGGAAAGGACTCAGGACAGCTGGTGCTGGCACCTAGGCTGCTGTGTACCCTGCCGGCAGGATGGGTTCTTACCAGGTCTATGTGTTAACTTGCATGGAGTCCTCTGCTTAGGAGGGTGGCAGCATGTGCCGGCAGTGACCAGTAGTCGGAATGGGGTCTGTGCCGGTCTTGGCCGACTTCAGAAGGAGGCTGCAGCTGAGCTTGTGGGGGAGGGGTGGGTCATCTACATTCACTGCTCTCAGGTGGCTCAGCAGGCCGGTGGCCATGGGGATGGCCAATGGTCGTAGCATGGCTGGTCAGGAGACTGAGGGCGAGGGGGGCAGCCTCCTTGGCACAGGTGGGCTTACATATCCTGAAGGATCACCCACCCTCAGTTCCAGAGACCTCCCTTTCTTCCTTGGGCACAGCTGGGAACTTATATAAAAATAGGAGGCTATTCTTGCCTGGGGGTCCAGGGCCCCTATGACCCTGCCCCTTCCCCTCAGTCAGGAGCCAACTAGCAAAGACCAAATGTTTGGGTGCTGTACAGCTCAGCCTGGTTGCCAGGGAAGCTCCTGGCCCTGGGCTCTGTGTTGAGACTGCTAAGGGCACAGTAGACAGTGTCTGCCCAGTCACTCCAGAAGTGACACTAGGGCCTCACGGCACAGCAGGAGCAGCTCTGAGCTCTGTGTTCCTGCTGGTATCCTGTCTTCAGTGTCCCCTTGTCCCCGGTCATAGGCAGGAGGTTGCAGGGCTGGGATTCTGGACAACTGGGTGACCTTGAATTGGGTTTTGAACCTGCTGCCTCATGGCCCAGAGGCTCCCACCATTTTCCCACACCACCTACCAGTTCAGGAGCCAACAACCTCCATTCATTTCATTTTCATGGGTGCCCCTTCTCCCCATTTCACAGATGGTAGAACTGAGGCTGGAATAGGGACCTCTCAAGGCTGTGTGTGTCCCATGCCAGCCCTCCCTGTGAGCCATGTCTGTCTCTCTCCAGAGCTTGGAACAGAGCCGCCCCTCAGTCCATACCAAGCCCCCTCCTGGCCTCTGCCCTGGAAGGCAGCCAAACTCCCACCCCAGCCAGACCACTTCCTGCTGACGAGCCCACGAGTGTGTGCAGCCCTTTAGGCGGGGACTGCCTAACCGCCTGCCTCCCTACAGGGACCTCGGATGGGATCCAGCTCCCCAGACAAGGGCTGCATGGACTGGCCGCCTGTGGCTGGCCCTGAGGGCGGGCAGCCAGGTGCCCGTGGCGTGGCAGAGAAGCCGCCCCCCCTTCTCTCTGCTCAAAGGTGAATTCACCAGGGCTGGCTCCATGAGTTTTCCAAGAAGCTTGCTGGGAGCCAGAGAATGGGAACATCTGTGCCCGGGGCTGTGTCCTGGCTGCAGCTCAGGCCACAGTCTGGGGCTGGCGTCAGCAGGAGACAGCCCTACATGGAGGGGGCTCTGCCTCGCTGGCTTG